CTGCAGAGTCCATCCACTAGCACTGCACTACTGCACAACACACACTCACTACAGTCAGCTCTCGGAGTACCATGCACAGCCCGCACGTCTGTGCGTTTACAGGCTAACATGCACTTCCACTCAGCAGAGCTCACCTCTGCATGTAAAAAAAGCTCTACATGGTCCTTTACTGTGATTTTGGGATTCGATTCACACCATGCTCTTTATTTGTTCATGCAAAGTCATCCCTTCTTATCGGTCATCTTTTCCTCTTCGCTTCATGTGATTGTTTTACTAGAAAGGCCACTTTTCTGAAAGCTTTGTCAGCTTTTAATGTAATCATATCTTTATCACACGCTTAGCTGCAAGCACCTATCAGATTGTAAATTTCACGTTAAGGTGCTATTTGATTGTAGCGTGGTTCTATCAGTTGCAGTAAATCCTTCCTTTATGAAGTAGACGAGCCCAAAGACATTCAGGGGGCCAGCCCAGTGTGTGGTTAGCTCTTGGTTTTGTATCAGGATATTTGGTGATATTTTACGCTGCAGGCAACACCAAAGAAATGCTTCTTTTGACAAATGTTTTTCTCATGAATCTGATGACTCTGATAGGAGTAATTGTTTATGTATTGATTTGGATTTGTTTGGTATATTTTGCAAAGGCAAGGAGAAAAGGATTAAACGCAATAAATAAACAGTTTTTGTTTGCCTTACTTAGATATTGGACTTTGAGTAAAATTTTGTCTACTTTGTATCGTCTGCCTCTGATATGATGATGGTTGTAACCTTTCACAAAGTATTGTTACTTCTGTAACTACTGATGTTGTTTTGCAACTCTGTATCAAATGTAATGTAGTGAGTACAAGGGGAAAATTAGTTCTATTTTTGACCTTCAGAACTGCAGCTTGTTGTATTTCTACTCAAAGCTTCTTTGCTTTGAAGGTCGGAATATACCTTTTACTATGTTTACCTCATGGGAAAAAGGTAGTTTTAATACCTTACTTTGCAAGACAGCTAACAGTGATTCACGTCGTCACAATGACCTTGAATAAAGATCGCGGCTCCATTTTAGAGCGTAGCACTCCTCAACGGCTATGCTTTATCACTTCGATTCATTTATGACCTGTTTTTCTTCCCCTCGTGCGGTCATATCTAGACATGGCTCATAGAGAGTAGGATGGTGCTGGGCCCGTGAACTTTGACAGCCGTCGGAACGGGGAGGTGGAGGGTGTGATGTAAATGCTGAAGGGCGGATGAAAAAGAACGACTGAGAAGAAGTAAAATTCCAGAAAGTGAGCGAAGAAGATGTGGAGTAGAAGGAAAGGGAAGAGGAGGATAATGAAGTGGAATGTAAGGGGTGGGGCACCTCTGGTATGTCAGCCCTGCACTCAGTGTGTGCGAATGTGTGTGTGTGTGTGTGAGCCTAAACACCCCACCATGACTCAGTGAGTCAGACATGCGCAGCTGCTTCAGCTCTCAATCACACACCCGCAAAATGCTTTGAAACTATCTCTGTTGCTCTCTCTTTGATTCTCTGTTTCTGTCTCTCTCTGACACTCTCTGATTCGCCATTTCCCTGGAAGATCCACAAGCAGCTGCAGTGGGTGGAGAGGCTGCTTTTTTAAATTAACACACAAATGTTAAAAATCAGTCATTCATTTTTGAATGAACTCCCAACAATTTCTTTACTGCAGTAAAGAAACACATAGTTTAAAAAAATGTGTTGATTTTTCAAACTATTTCTTTGTGGATTAGTGTTGACACACAAAGGCTGTTTAGAAAAGATTCATGTAGCTTCTGGGACTGAAAGGTGAAGACAATGCTGTGGTGCATTAATCCTGCATTCTTTCTATTGGCCAGCAGGGGGCAACTCCTCTGGTTTCAAAGAGTTTTGTTGAATAAGTCTATGGAAAACTGGCCCAACTAACACTCAATCATCACGGTTTCAAAAAAATGGCAACACTGAAAATGCTCAAGTTGAGACACCACAAACTAGCGGATGAAATCTTAGAGGTCCTCCCTCTATCAGCACAGAGCAAGCAAGGCTTAGCCTAACATCTTGAGGATAATTATAATTTAACAAAAAACAGACAGAGTTTAAGAGACTACTTGAGAACACCTGATGCACATCATGAAGCTAATGAAGCATCTGCCCAAACTCAGACTGCTGAAAAGTGTGCCATGCAGATAGATAGAGCAAGCTTTTCCTCCAAGGCTGGCTATCTCTGGACTCTCTCTCACCTGGGGCTGAAGCAGTGGGGTGCTTAGTGGTCTCTCTTTCATCTGATGATGGCTGTCTAAACTATAGCAACCAGCCCAGCCTTTAATCCAGTGTGTCCTCCACAGCTCACAGGATTTTTAAATAGCAATGTTATTTTTCGTAACATGATCAAGAAAAGTCCTCATTTAATTTTTTTGTGAACAGCTTTTGTTTTTGTTTTATTATCAAGGTCACTATGACATATATAACAAAGAAGTCTAAAATTAAAACAAAAGTAAAAATGTAGTTTGTTTTCTTTGCTGTTTTTCAGATTTTTGTCCACATATATGATATACAAACTATAATTTAATAATAAAGACAATCCTACAGTTTTGAAATGTCTTGCTTTTGAGGAGAACAGCTTGATGAGAATAAGTGAATAAGCCAGGACTAGTTCATACAAAATAAAATGTTAATACTTCTGATTCTCCACACTTGAAGAGCTGGCTGTCACAAGAATGGAGGAGATGTGATATCGTTTATAGGTGGAGAAATTCATAGTTTTCATACGTGAACTCAAAAAAAATTGAATGAACATGAAACAATTAGGGAAATGATTTTTTAATGTGATTAAATTGCTGTATTTTCGTTTTATACAATTCTGTTATTCCAACTTAAAGCATTTGAGTTGGACCAACTTAGTTAATTAATGATGAATCAACTTATTTAGTGCAGCTGAGTCCAATTTAATAAAGCTTTGTAATGTGCATCTTTTTTCCCTCCATTTGAATGGATTTATAACTAATTTCACACAGCAGTCACTCCATACTAAAAAAAGAAGTAGGGAAGTTATGATTTCAAGGCTTGATACAGAATTTTCTTTATGTTTTTGTCCTTGGTGGGTGCATAGCTGCAATTATTTAAAACCAGATATATATGAAAATGTTCGTTGTCAGACTAAGACTTTTAACAGGTTAAACCACAATAAATAACCACAATAAATAGCAATAGCATGTAGCCTAACATCCTGTAACAACAGCGAAATGTTACCAACAACCTGTGTATGTTCACCCAACAGTCTGAACCAACAGATCTGTAAGGTCTCAATAATGATGCAACTGGGGGTTCAGTGCCTGGCCCTAAAGCAACCGAGCAGCAGTGATTTGCTAGAGGGAGGAGAAAATGTTGCTCATTTCCCTCCCACCGTACCAGAGCAGTCTCACCTCCTCTTCTACTTCCTCTTCTCACTTTTTCCCCTCCTCCTCCTTGTCTTCCTCCTCTTCCTTCCTGCTCCGCCCCCATCCCCCTTCCCTCCCCTTCTCCACCAACACCACCACCTATCCCCCCCACACCCCCCGCCTTCCCTCCAGTTCTTTGTCATCTCTTTGGGTGAATTCCCAGCTGACTCTGTTTGTCATGGCAACCAACCAGTCGTGGTGACTGGGCCTGCAGCTCCTGCTTCCTGTGTGTGTGTGTGTGTGTGTGTGTGTGTGTGTGTGTGTGTGTGTGTGTGTGTGTGTGTGTGTGTGTGTGTGAGTGTGAGGAATGAAGAGACGCATGCGCAGTGTGTATGTGTGTAGACAGCGGCTGGCTGCATGAGCCTGTCAGCCTGGATTAAAGTCAAACATACTGCAGCAATGCCTTTCTTTCTTTCTTTCTTTCTTTCTTTCTTTCTTTTTTGCAGCACAGAAATAATTCAGTAGATACATGTATCTCTTAAAGCTAATATGTTTATTCAGGGAATTTCGTGCAATAATCTCTCTCAGCCGTTTTTCTCCTACTGTCCCCCCACCACCTCCTACTTAGTAACTCGGTGTGCTATTCTAATGTGGCACGAGGAGGGAGAGTGGAGGGGGTGGGCTTTAAATCTGGCCTCTGATCCTGTGGTACAGCAGGGAGCGCTGCTATTACATAACTTCTTGTGTGTGTGTGTGTGT